AGGCAGCCTAGCACAAAGGGGAGACTCTCAAATAAATGAGAAGGGTGGCAAACAAGGAAATCAAAACAAAAGAAAAACAGAAAACACAGAGTCTAAAAGCAGTTGTGTGAGCTTTTTATCCCTACTGTGATTCCAAAGATATGGAAATTAAATATTTTCTCTTATTTCTTTCTGTTAAGTAATAATAACCAAGCAAGCTAGACATCCATGAATATGTGAGCCGACTGGAGGAGGAGGTTAGGACCGGTTGTGTGTGAAGATGATAGGTGTTCTGCTGGGGTTAGCAGAGGCCTTAAACAACAGAAACTTATTGCCTTACAGTCATAGAGGCTCAAAGTCCAAGATGTGATTGCATTGAGGTGGGTCTCTTTTGAAGTCTAGAATTGAAGTGCCAGCAGGTTTGGTTCTCGGCTTGCAGATGCCTGGATTCTCCATGTCTTACTGTGGTTTTTCTTCTGTGTGTGCCCAACTCAGTCATGTAATATCCTCTACTTACAAGGCACCAGCCAGATACCAGCCCATACCTCATTTTATCTTTTCTCTTCATAGATGTATTTCCAAAGGCAGTCACACTCTGAGGTATTACAAGTTAGATCATAAGACACCCCCCCCCCAGTTTAGGAATTGTTGGGTTACTCAGTTAAGTTCGTGATATTTTGGACTCCTGTTCTTTTGTTTTTTACTTTTAAGTCCAATTCTGCATATTTCTGATGATGTGACATTGATTTGGTTGCCTTGTTTTCTCTTTTGTGAAACAGACGTGACAAACAGTATCAATGTCATGGGGTTGCTATTAGAATTAAACAAATCCATGCATACAAAGCTTAAAAATAAGCACATGGCTGAAACGATGGCTCTGTGGTTAAGATCACTCCATGTTCTTCCCGAGGACCTGGATTCGATTCCCAGCATTCACATGGCAGCTCATACCTGCCTGTAACTGCATTTCCAGGAATTTCTATGTCCTCTTCTGCTCTCTATGAGGACCAGGCATGCACATGGTAAACATACATACCTGCAACTGAACATTTCTACACATAAAATAGTAAAATAAAATAATTAAGTACAAAACGTTTAGAGAAATAAAGAAGGGAAACCTATAAAAACAAGAACGGGAAATTTCTGAGCTCCAGAAGCCCCTCTGGGGAACAGAAGGGTGACGGTCAATCCTCTTATTTTTTCCATGCAGATTAGGGACAGATTTCCCACCTAGGAGAGACCATAAGGCTCTCCCATTCTGTCTGTTGGCCAGAGACAAGGCTTTGGATTCCCTATGGTAGGAGTTAGCTGAAATTCCTGCATCGTAAGTTTAGTTTTGAAATTGTCCTACATCCTAGAGAACACAGATTTTACAAGATTAAAGATTAATGTCTAAGCAAAAGTAGCAATGGCTAAGAGAGGGTAAGAGACAAGAAAGCCTTGGCTCTGTCTGTTCCAAGGGAGTTACCCTTGTATAGCTTGCTCTTGTGGAGGTATAATCCCTGGCAATTATACATTGTTGGGTTTTTTATTTTAATTATTTTAAAAAGCAGATTCAGAGAACAAAGGAGAAATTATAAGACTAAAATTATTTTTGAAAATCCTAACTAGCTGGGTGTGGTGGTTCACACCTTCAGTTTCAGCACTCAAGAGGCCAAGGCAAGCAGATCTTTGTGGGTTCCAGGACAGCCAGGTCTATATAACAAGCTCCATCACTATGAAATGAGACCCTGTCTTAAAGAGAAATTTGAGCTAAATAAAACTTTTTAAAAAATTTAGACTCAATTTTTGATTTAGTGATTTGGGAAATGGGCTTGGGGAAAGTCTTGAGTGAATCAGCAGGAGGTAAAGATACAGAAAATATGCAAAAGGTTCAAACCCAGCCACAGGGAGGAAAAAAAAAAAAACAGGAAAATGGAGGAGCTATTACCCAGGCCATTGTGAGGGAGAACACCGGAAGTGGAGGAGAGGGAGTGCTCAAAGAAACAGTGAGTGAGTGAGGAGTTTTCAGAGTGGAAGGAAGAGTCCTGAGTTTGAAAGCATGCTGAGTCCTAGGCCAGCTCAGTGGAATTAACAACTGAATTCACATTCAACCCAGAATGCAGCTGCCAGATACCAGGGATAAAAGGAAAAATCCTAAATGTCTTCAAAGAGCAGACATCAGTCAGCATGACCTCAGTGAGCCAGGCACTGTCCTGCTACCACGAGGCTTGCCTGCCACACTTGCTAACTCCCTTTCAGAGAGGACTCTGCTGAGATGCTGTCTCTGCCTGGAGACATTTTCCTCTTCTTCTCTGGGCTGCCTCAAGAGGTCCTCCTGACCCCACTAGTCCCTCAGTAAATTACCACGGCAATCTGCCCTGCTATTGTCCCTGCCTTTGCCAGCTCAGCTCCTCCCACATAATTAATAAGCAACTTGGAGACCTCAACTGTGACATTCCTGTCTCTTCCTTCCCAGTGAGTGTGGTGCTAGCTATGCTGAATTGCTTAACAAAATTTTGTTGAAGCAAATTTGGAGTTTGTATTAAGAGATTTTTTTTTATAGATTTGAAGCACTGGGCTTAAGAGACAGGAAGGCATTGGGGAAGAAAGTCAGACACACCCACACCATAGAACGTGGATGTGGGCTCTCAAAGGAGACTCGTCAATGAATATTCTTCAACACTTAATCTGTTGCTCCTTTGGACCTAAATATAAGTTAAGTTTGCACGTGGGATCAAGCATATCCACACTGTTATTTTTCCACTTGGTAATCCTGCTAGGACAGAGTCACTAAGCACCCTTATGCCATACTTTAATATTAAAATAGGTTCCCACATCCATATGTGTGCATGTATATAGAGGCCAGAGGACAGCTTCCCACACTGTCACTCACATGCTATCCACCTTCCTTTTTTAAAATTTATTATTACTATCATTATTGTTGTGGTGGTGGTGTTTGAGACAAGGTCTCATAGTCCTGACAATCCTATACTTTCCATGTAGACCAGGCTGGACTTGAACTCACAGAGAACCTCCTGCCTCTGTCTCCCAAGTTCTGGGATTAAAGGGGTGAGTTACCATATTTAAAGGGGTGGCTCACCATATTACTGTCAGCCATATTTTAAGATGGGGGTCTCTCACTGTCTTGGAGCTTACTGGCTAGGCTAGACTGGCTGATCAGAGAGTGTCAGGGCACCTCCTTGTCTCTGCCTCTGGAGTGTTGAGATTACAAGTGTGCATGCCACCATGCACAGATTTCTGTGTGAGCTCTAGCGGCCCAGTTCATGTCTGAGTCTCATGACCCTTGATAGGTCTTTCCCATAGCACCCACCTTCCCTCAGTGTTGTACACTGTGTACTCTTCTGCTCGTGCTCTCTGTGTCATCTGTGGCTCAGGGAGGGAAGGTTCTCCAGACTTCTGCTGAGTGGCTTCTTCGTGTTAATCTTGACGTCGCCCTCCTCTCCCCATCCCTACCCTGCTGCCCGCTGAGAGCTGTGGTCCAGAGTAGCTTTTTTGGGAGCAGACAGGTAATGGTCAGTCATTCTTCTGTCCTGCCTTCAATGCTGATATGAGACAGAATCCCTGCCCAGGAGACCGCAAGCTTCTCATTCTGCTTTATGTACTGGTCAGAGATGAAGGGGCTTTGGATTCCCTGTGGCAGAAGTTGGCTGAATCCCTTCATCAGAAGGAGTTTGGTTTGAAGTTGCATGCATGCACTCTAGAAGACACAGGTTTTTACAGGGTTAAAATATAAGGTTTGTGTGTGGGTTCATGCACACGAATGTGGTGCCCTTGGAGTCCAGAGGTGACACTGGGTCCCTGGAGCTAGAGTTACAGGCAGTTGTACCCAGCTCCATATGGGGGACTGTGAACGAATCCCAAGTACTGAGCCATCTTCAGGCCCTAATTTAATTTTAATACATTTACAATATTATATTTGTACGTAATGCACCGTCATTACACACAGACAGACAGACAGACAGACACACACACACACACACACACACACACACACGTCTCTTACCCCCTCTTTCTCCAAACTAGCCCCTTTCTTCCCCTCAAGCCTCCTGCCCTTTCCTTCCCCCCTTTCTCTCTCCCTCCCTTCCTCATCCTTTGGTCCTACAGTCCTTCCATCTCCTCTTCTACAATGTTCCCTGGGCCCTGGAGAGGATGACATGGACGTCCCATTTAGGGCTAAGCACTCAGCTGTCACTCACTCTCAACCAGCTATGGGTCCCTTCTTTGACCATCTCTTTAGGATTCTCAGTTATTGACAAAACTCTTATTCCAGTTCTTGAGACTGCACGGCAGCATGCAATTCAAGAGACACTGTGTGGGGCAAGATGTGCCAGGAGCTCGGGAGTGGAGAGAAGCATCCCTGTCCTCTGCCCTAGTCCCCAGGATCTAATGGCTTGGAGCCCTGCTTCCCAGCCTACCTGGGTCGCTGGCAAGAATGAGCAAAGTCCCTGGAGAATTGAACCCACTGTTTTGAATGCCCTACTCTTCTGCAGCTGCCTTGTCTGGGGTTTAAGTCAATGGCCTATGTTGTCCTTCTCCCAGGACCTGCTATGAGCACACCAGAGGTGATTTCTCTCTCTTACCTCCATGGAATAAGGTCTGCCTCCTAAAAATAGCCCCAAGCTATTGGGCAGCTAGGCTCAGAGAAGGAGATGGCTTATGTGAATAGCTGGCTTTGACTTCTTTTGTTTTAAATCCCTGTTCAGGTTAAAAGTGAGAATGAGCGGGTCCTCTCCCATTTGAATCATAAGCTCAAAGGGATTGTCTTATAACCTGGGGAATTATCTCCATGCTTCCAGGGACAGCACTGTCCACAGTAAATGAACAGAGAGGACTTGAGAGGAATTAAGGCATGATGAAGCAGAGGTGACTATAGCACAGCTTTAGAAAGTGGGGAGCATAGTAAATTAGGAGTGGCTTGTCCCTAGCAGCCTGAAGAGTTGATGGGCAATAGGACCTGGTGACAGCAAAGTCACTGTGGCCAATGCCCAAGTTAACAGCTGCGTCTGTCTGTCATTCCAGCCAGCCTGCCCAGGGCAGCTGGGAAGGTGAGAGGAAGGAAGATATTATGGAAGAAAGGAAGACAGGGTTGTAGGAGTGAGTACCAGCAGAGCAGGAAAGTCTGGGGTGTCGTACGCAGGGACCCCAAGCAGTCGTGTGAACACCGCTATCTTGGCTGGTCTCCACCTATGGCCATCTAAGTGTCTGTGTGAGCATGGGCCTCTGTTTATGCTGTGGCGTTCAGCACAGCAGGACCCATTCGTCTCCTGGACTCAGCTCTGGGCCGCTATGGTTCCTACCACAACTTAAAGGTGGACGCACCCTCAGCCCCCAGGCAAGTGTCTTCCAGTCTAGAGTTCTGAAGGCGTGACAGCTGCCAGCTCATGCGTAAGCTTGCTTGCCTATGAATACGCTTAGGTAAGGTCCCTAGGTCAGGAGAAAGTTTCAGGAACACCCACTCCTGGCAGCAGAAGCTGGGGGAAGGATAGAAAGGAGGGAAAAGGAGAGTTCCCTCCACACTAGCAGCCTCTCACAGAGCTTGCCCCCCCAAATGTGAAGGGGGTGCACAGAAGAAAAAAAAAAACAAGAAAAGCCCAGATCCTACTTCCTGACTGGGCCAGCTGTCAAAGATACAGAGGAATGATAGGAGGGTACCCCTGAGGTTTCCAGGTTCTCAAGTCCCAGGACGAGGAACTGCACTAAGGACACTTGGTAAGTAAAATAGTTTATTAAGAAAGAGAAAGACGTCTGAGGATGGGAGTGGGCCAGTGAGCGGGGGTGGGGTGGGGGGGGTGGGGGGGTCAGTCTTGTGCCCCTTTGTAGGTGTTTACACAGCATCCACAGTGTTGGCATACTGCAGGCATTTGTCTGCACGCTGTGTTTGTTACCCACAGCTTATCAGATAGGGAATGTTCTCCAGTCTTTCATGCCAACTGGCTCCTTTCATATATCATTCTTGTTGTCTCTCTGCATGTCTTTATTCTTTTGTTACATAAACTAACAATGAAGTTGGTATGTACATGGAGGAGTACAAGAAAGTAAATAAACAGCATCTGTAATAACACTAGTTAAAACTGAGCTCCAGTGGTGCTTATTTACTTACTATAAACCTGGGTGTGGTAGTGCATGCCTATAACCTCAGAACTTGGAAAGCTAAAGCAGGAGAATTAGGAGTTTGAGGCCAGTCTGGGATACATGTCAAGCTCTGGGCCAGCCTGAGCTACATGTGAGACTGTCTTGAAAAACAGGGAAGTAAATGAATGTTAAAATTAAAAATAGCAATTCTGTGCACAAAAGACAACTGCTATGTTCCATTTGTGGCACCATGCTAAGTTTGGGGAATGCATCAGTGCATATTTTCTTTGGTTTTATCTTTTAACAGAGTTTTAAGCATTTAGTAAACTTACCGAAGTGCAGCTCTCTTTGCCATCTTGTATCCTACTTCCTCTTGCATTACATAGCATTTAAACAAAACTTTGTTTATACTTCTTCTCTGTGGCGTTTCTGAAGCAGAGTCTCATTCTGTAAGCCAGAGCTGGCCCAGAACTCTTGTATCCCAGACTAGCCTCTTACGAGGACACTCTTGGCTAAGCCTCCCACATGCTAATGTTACAGATGTGAGTCATCACGATGGACCATTTTCTTAGTCTCCTATATTTAAGGCACTCTGAAACAACACTCTCCAGGGACCCACTGGTCAGCTGGTGGGAAAACAAGGGGTCAAAGGAAGTGTGTCACGGGGGTGAGGGTGGGGGAGCAGGAGGGAGGGGGGTGGGCTTTGGTGTTTCAAAAGCTGAAGTCAGGCCCAATGACTCTTCCTTTTCCTGATGCCTGTGGGTCTGGATGCAGAACTCTCAGCTACTTCTTTGGCACCATGTTCCCTGCCATGATGACAATGGACTAAACCCCTGAAACTGTAAGCCAGTCCCCAATTAAATGCTTTCTTTTATAAGAGCTGGGCATGGTGTCTCTTCACAGCAACAGGACACTGACTGGGACAGTGAAGCTTCCACGGAGAAATCCCAAGTACACATTAACTTGACTTACCTTTCAGAACTAGTGAGAGAGACAGAGGCTAAGACCAGAGCATGAAGACCCAGAAGAGGCCACAGAGAAGGGACACTGAGACCAGGGAGGTGGGCAGGTGTGGCAAACTTCCCAGGAAATGAAGAACTCAGTGTTTGTGCTTAGCTCTGAGCCAGGGAATATTCTAGACCTGAGCAGTCAATGGGAAAATATCATGAAAGGACTTTGTCCAGTTTAAGAAAGGAAATAAAAGGGAGCCTTTTCTCCTTCTTTGGTCAAGACTAAGACAAAAAATATGATTTGAACCAAGTTGACTTTATCTGCCTTTTGATGTGTCCTGTCTTCAGCCCATCCATGTCCTGCAGAGGACGGAAACAAAGTAGGATATGCTTTCAGCTTTGTGCCCCAAGTGACTTGTCCCTCTGGGAAAGACCGTGGAGCCTTGGACATGGTGGGGCCAGAAGATAAGAGTGCATCACCAGGGGCTGACATCTACTAGGTCTATAACCTACCAAACGCTAGGTTAAAGGTCAGATGGGTTATCTGCCAGGGTCCTTATGGATGACAGCCATCTGTCCATCAGTGCATGGAGATACCAATGGTGTGTCAGGAAGTACCTCAGATTAGAGCAAGAAGGCACTGAAGATCTTTGCTCTCTGTAGGTAGCTGTTGAACAAGAGAGGGGGTGGGGAATGGGATATATTTGGAAATTGACATGGCCATGAGAACATGTGTGGGTGTGTTTGAAGGGAAATGGAAATAGGGAAACTTTTAGAGGCAAAATGAGGATTTTTTTTTTTTGGTTTTTCGAGACAGACAGTTTCTCTGTATTGCTTTGGAGCCTACCCTGGAACTCGCTCTGTAGACCTGGCTGGTTTCGAACTCACAGAGATTCACCTGCCTCTGCCTCCCAACAAAATGAGGATTCTATAAGGTATTTTGAAGTAGTTTTTGGCTACAAGGATTAGGAAGAAGGACGGCTTCCATCTGATGTTCGTCAGGATAGTTGTTCTTGCAGCATTTTCTGTGTGAGTGGGAGCTGGCCTTTGTGTTCTGAAAGGGCCTTTCCTAACTGCTATCAGATATACATATGTCCTGACTGGGTTTTTAATTTTATTGTTTTGTCAACTTGACACAATTGAGAAAATGTTCCATCAGATTGGCCTGCGGCTAAGCCTCTGGGGGCATTTTCTTGATTAATGGTTAGTGTGTGAGGTCCTGTCCACTGAGGGTGGTACGACCCCTGGGCAGCTGGTCCCAGAAGCAAAGTGAGCGAGCCACTAGGAACAAGCCAATAGTCAGCGATCCTCCAGGGGTCTGCTTCCTGCCTGGAGTTTCTGCCCTGACTTCCTTTAGTGACGGAATAAACTACGGTTGCTTTGATCATGGTGTGTATCACAGTGATGAAGAAGCAGACTAAGTGGGGTTGGAATGGAAAAAGAAGAGACTAGGAAAATGCACCAGTCCCCTGTTTCAGAGCCTTCTGCCTGATGCAGTGCTGTGGTCAGGGTCTCACGGAGGGGACTCCATTTGACTTCTGAGCACTTTCACAAGCTTAGGATCGACATGAGAGTTTCACCTTCATTTTCAGAGGACCTGAGGGTCTAAGAGGTCATTTGGCTGAGCCAGAAGGCAGCCAAGATCTACGTGCCTCCAACCTGTTTCTCCCCAGGAATATTACATTTTCCCAAACCCCAGGAAGTCTGTTCCCACTGAGTGTTGCTCAATGCATCCATTTGTAAGAAACAACTTGACTCATGCTGCCCCAGCTCATCTCTGATTCAGGAGTGACTGGGTTGGTAGCTGGCAGATTAATGAGAGACAGCATCCTAATTAGGCCAGGGCTGGGCCTGGACTCTGACATTGTCCCTGAAGTGTGCCTTGTCAGGTGAGTGGGAGGCAAATAGGAACACTCCTTTATAGGCACGAACTGACAACGGGGGTGAGACTGGAATCCAGGCCAGGGTACTACAGGAGCCACAGCGACCTTCTAGAAACCAGATCCCCACTCCCTGTCCTTAGGAGTCCAGACCTTTCTGGATCCTGTTTGGCACACGCTCCTGGAGGTATGGCTCATCTCTAAATTGACCCATATAACCCTCTGTTGACAATCAGGAGTTCTTGCTGCCGGGACATTGTGTGAAGGATGTTGTGGTGAGTGGGGAAGCTTCCAGTGAGATCAGTTTAAAGAGCGTGCTGGTCTTAAAGAATGTCAGCCCATGCTGGTGGAACACACATCTTCATGGGTTCTCGGGTACCTGGAGTGCATGTAGGGTGGGGACAGGAGGGGAAGGGGACTCAGATCAGCAACTGGAGTCGCTGATTCTACTCTTGAATGACTTGCTCTAAACTTCTAAAGAGAGCGCTCAGGGCATCAGTTCCGTGTGATTGAAGGCCCCCATCAGTTTAGGATTGGAATGCCATCAAGCCCTGGATCTAGGTGGAGTTGTTTAACTGGCTGGAGGTGGTTTTTCTTGGGGGAGAGGCTGACTACACTTTGGGCGATGGCCCTGCACAAGGCTGCCTTCCTGGGGCTGGCATTCACCTACGGTAGACAACTGCTAGTCCTTGTAGAAAAGGTATCATTCCAGGGCTGGAGTTCAGAGGCAGTGTCCATCCAGACTAACTCAGAACCACTAAAACCTCACTAACTGACTCAGATTACCTAAAAACTGACTCAGAACAGAGGCTTTCCTGTGGATAGCCACACAGACCTCCCCATAACTACTGACATTTGACTTTTCTTTGGGGTCCCGGAGGACAGGGCCTGGTTGTTTGTGATTCCTGGTATTGAGAAGGTGCCAGTTTGTAAATTATCAAACATCTCCTTGAAGAGAAGAAAGCAAGTGAACCAGCAATGAGATCTCTGGCTTGGCAAGATAGGCGCCGGGCTGTTCCCCAGCAGGAAAGGACGAGGAGGCAGGGAGACCCTCGGCTGAATGTCTCTGGGGTGTGTGGGTTGTGGCATCTGACAGGTCCCGGCTCAGAGCCACGTGCCTCTGCCACCTGAGGCTGTGTACTTGTGGAGAGCCACCTACCACCTTCCTGACCCACTTTTCAATTTCCTGTGACAGAGCACCGATGCCTGCTTTCCTGGGTATGTGGGAGAGGCAAACTTCCTCATGGAAGACGCTCTGAGCTTGGAAGCCACAGCTGTGTCTATCAGCCTTGGGTAATCTTAGGGAGGCCCAAATGAAATGCTGTTATATAGTCCTTTCTGATCTACTGGTGATTTCTTGCATTGAACGCGAACTGTACTAAGTCTTGCCTTATACTGAGCAGCAGCCCCCCCCGTACCCTCTACCCTCCATCCTCTTCCGATCCTATCTGGGCTCATCCATTGCTGATGGAGGGGGCCTCTATGGCCGCCTCACTTAGCCCGCTGCTTACTATGATGAGAGAGAAATTTTGTAACAGTGAACAATCTTTTAGGAGATTACGAAGGTCCAGAACTGAGTTTGGGTGGGTGAGTGTGGAGACCAGAATTCAGCCTTGGGTGTCATTCCTCAGGGTCTCTCACTTTACTAGGAACTCATGCTTTAGCTCGACTGGCTAACCAGAGCCTCCCAGGGATCTGCCTGTCCCTACCTTCCCAGAGATTGCAAACATACTGTGTCAGGGCTGGCTTTGTTTGTTTGTTTGTTTTCCCAGTCAGTGTTTCTCTGTATTGTTGTGGAGGCTGTCCTGGAACTCGCTCTGTAGATCAGGCTGGCCTCGAACTCACAGAGATCCGCCTGCCTCTGCCTCCTGAGTGCCGGGATTAAAGGCGTGCACCACCAACACCCGGCAGGCCTGTTTTTTTTTTTTTTTTTTTTTTTTTTACCGGTTCTTGGTATAGAACTCAGGTCCTCATGCTTCCGAAGCGAGCATTTTACTGACTGAGTCATCTCCATCCAGTCTCAGAGTCTGAGTTTTTAACTCTTTAGTTATGTTCCATTGCATCATCTGGAAGTGACTGCCACTGTTTGGTGGCAGAACTGTGCCAAGGTGCCCCAGAAGGCCTTAGACACCTGCTCAAGTGCAGAGGATGGAGTTCAGAAGTGCCTTTGCACTCAGCTTGGCCACTTAAGCCTTGGTGACCATGGTACTAATGTCTACCATGTGCAGGTATTGGGAGGATTAAATGATGAATAATTATTTGTGAATAACAAAATTTCTAAATACAATTCACAAGGATTTCTAGATCTATTGTGTACTTACAGAACACAGGCCTTTTGTAAGGAACACGTGGGTAGGGGTTGGGAAGTTGTTAGTGGGTGTGGGGGTTTGGGCTGAAGGGGGGTGGGTAAGATACTTTGTTCTGACCTTGAAGCCCTTTTTCCTTGATCTTCTTCTCTCCTGGGCTCAGACTTGTCTCTACTATATAGGGTTTGACAGCTTAGAGAGAGATGAGTATCCTCCAGATGGACCCAGGTTAGCAGGAATCCACTGCTCTGTTGCCTCTACTCCAGTATCTCTCTATAAAAGACATCACTCTGAGTTTCGTGGGCTTGCAGAGGGCAACAAATCTGTGGGTTAGATGGAGTAATTGCTGTCAAATGCTCAGCCAGCCCCTGGCAAGGGATGTGTAGATATTGGCAATAATATTGACCTTTTCATCCCTGATCAAATACCCACTTCATCAGAACAGGCTTCTTGGCTCATTTTGTTTCTGGTCCATCCCAAGTTCCCAGAATACCACATGGCCCTGTGATGGGAGTGACTACATTTATTCTCATCCATAAAGAGGCTGGATGCTAAAGGAGAAGGTATCCAGAAAACAGTCATAGACACTGTGGAAACCAGACCCAGACTCCCATATAAACACTGCCAGGCCTGACCTGGCTTGCTTTCTGTTTTTATGGTAAACACTATGACCAAAGGAGGCCCATGGAGAAGGGGGTTTATTCAGCTGACACATCCCCATCCTGCTCTATCACAGAGAGAAGCTAAAGCAGGAACTGAGGCCACGGAGGAATACTGCTTACTTCCTGGCTTGCTTTCATGTCTTGCTCAACCTGATCCCTTAGACAACTCAGGTCACCTGCCCAGGAGTGGAGCCTATAGAGGGCCAGCCCCCCCTATGGAACACTGGTCAAGAAAATGCCCCCCACACATCCACAGGCCAATATAATGGAGGCATTTCCTCAGGTGAAGCCCCCTCTTGCCAAGTGACTCCAGCTTGTGTCAAGCTGACAAAAACTGACTGGCACATACTCTTGATCATATTACTTCTGCTGCCTCAGTCTCTAGGAGACACCATCACCACCACTACGTTGGTCACTATTGTCTGTTTCATCCAGATCTCTGTCTAGTCTCACATGGAGAACTGTAGCATGCTCATCTTCTACTCCCTGAAACTGAAAAAGGAACTTCCGGCAAGTTGATTAGATTGGATCAATCGCCTGCCTAAAAAACATCCTAGAAACCTTCTGCTTGCCTCTAGGCTAAAATGTAACTTTTGTGACCAGTAAGGTCATGCTAAGATGTTCAACATCATTAATATCACGGAACACAACCCAAACTATACTGGGCTATCCCTGCACAGCCACTGGGATGGCTAGAATTGAAAAGACATGATGACAATTGCTGGCTAGAGAGAGAGAGAGAGAGTGTGTGTGTCTGTGTGAGTGTGTCTGTGTGTCTGTGTGCCCTGTGTGCCTGTGTGTGTGCTTGTGTGAATATGTGTGTGAGTGTGTGTGAGTGAGTGTGATTGTGTGTGGGACTGGGACTCCTTTCACACCCAGAGAAAAGATGGAAATGCTAAAGTTGATGCAGGAAAGACTCAGAAGTAAAGTGCTCGCCCAGAATGCTGAGACTTTGTGTTCGAGCCCCAGTACTGTCAGGCGCTACATAGACCAGCTGTGGTTGAACATGTTTGTAATCCTAGTACTTGGTAGATATGGTTGAACATGTCTGCAATCCTAGTACTTGGTAGATGTGGTTGAACATGTCTGTAATCCTAGTACTTGGTAGATGTGGTTGAACATGTCTGCAATCCTAGTACTTGGTAGATGTGGCTGAACATGTCTGTAATCCTAGTACTTGGTAGATGTGGTTGAACATGTCTGTAACCCTAGTACTTGGGAGGTGGAAGCATGCAGATCTAGAGTTTAAAGTCATCCTGGCTCCATATTGAGTTCTAGGCTATCCTAGGCTACAAATTTCAAAGCAATAAATAAGTAAATGAATAAATAATGAAGTACCGATGCATGCTGTAACATGAATGAATCTTAGAAACAACATGCTAAAAGAGAGAAGCAAGGTACAAAGACCATGTACTGGGTGACTACTTGTATACGATGTATACAACAGGCAAAGCCAGAGAGAGAGTAGATTGAAGGTTTCCTGGGGCTTGGGCTGGGGTAGACGAGAATGACTGCTCACAGTTATGGGATTTGTTGGTGGGCAATGAAAACATCTGGAATTAGATGGTGGCAATGCCTGCACAGCCTTAGGATGGTCCTTTGAAATCGCTGTATGGCTCTTGGAGAAGCTGAATTGTGTATCATGTGTTATTATGCATCCCTTTTGAAAATGGAAAGTGGTCCTTCTCTGTAGGATGGACCATCTAGGGGATGTAGCTACTAGTTCTGGCCGCCAACCTCTCCCAGATCCCATCTTCTTCCCCTCTACACCATGCACTCCTGTCACATCACGGGCCTGAGCCATTGGCTCCGCATGTAGTTCTCGACCCCTGATGTTGTTCTGAAGTCACATCCCCCCTTTGAGCCCCAGGACTCGCTCATGCTTCTGTTCTGGTTCCTCCTGGAGACTCCTCTGACGCCCTCTTCCATTTCAGGGGTCTTTGTGGGTGTCCTTAGCTAACCTCCCACATGGTATACCGAAGGCCAGCTCAATGACATGGAGAAAGTTTTGGCCCCGGAGGCATCCTAAAAATCAACCTTTAAATTTAATTACAAGGCTTAATTTTCATTCAGGACCAACTTTTCGACTCTTGATCAAGTTTCTAAAACACTGAAATGTCATCTTTGTCTTCATTTTTTCTTCTAATTGTATTCAACTTTTTCTTATTAAGTTTTATGACAGTTATATTCATGGAGCAAAATAACAGTGTGCAGGCCTAGATTTTGTTTTCTTTAGTTTTGTTTTCTGTTTTTTAAAAAAACTGTCTCAGTCTAGCTCAGGCTGGGCATGAATTGCAAACACTCTTCCTGCCTCAACTTCTCATGTAGGCATGAGCCACCAAACCTAGCTTCAAGTCTCTCTTTTTTTTTTTTCCTGAGACAGTGTGTAACAGCACAGGCTGTCCTGGAACTCACCCTGTAAACCAGGCTGGCCTTGAACTCACAGAGATCTGCCTGCTTCTCCTCCCAAGTGCTGGGATCCAACGTGTGCTCCACCAGTGCCTGGCTTTATGTCTTATCTTAACATCTGTACTTACGTTCTGGGTAGGTAGGTCATCAAGTACATCCTTTATTGGAGATTACCTTGGCAACTGGTTCTCTCAGCCAACGGTGGTTATTCCAGCTAAGAAGTTACCTGTCAACTATTTGTCAACTATAGTCACCAAGCTATCCCCTGACTTCCCAGTTCTTTTCAGCAAATACTTATCCTTATTGTTGTTCATTTTCTTATAGCTCTAGGACTTCACTCAGCCCCATTAGTAGGTAGAGCCTATCTCTCCAGATCCACAGCCTCCCCTGCCTGCCTCAGGGCGGCACCCACACAGTGGGGGCAGCTGGTTTATCAGCCGCAGGCAGCTGTGAGAGCTGAGCCTGGGGAATGGAGGCGTTTTCTTCTTCTCTGGAACAGCTTTCTAGGGCTCTGGAGTTATAAAAGGCTCCCGTGTGTCATTCCCTGGCATCCGGACAGCTGCAGAGTGCCACTCAGCAAGCTCTTCTACTCTACACAAGCTTAGCAGCAGAAGGTTGTCACAAATCTGTTGTGAGGGGAACAGTTGACTTATGGCAGGAACCTAACACAAAACACACTTCTCTATTCCTGGATGGAGTCCTACCAGCACTGCTGCACAAGCGGCAAATGGGGCTTGGATATGAGAACAGAGACAGAAAATTTGAGGACAGGCCATCAGACAGGACCTGGTTTGCCTGTCAGATGAGTGCCACCTGACTCAGTGACTCTAGCCCCTGGCACAGGTATGACAACAGACAATGTATCTTCTCTTCCTGCCCAGATCTCAGGCCCATGGCGACCTGCCCTGTCCTGCAGAAGGAGACGCTATTCCAGACCGGAGTCTGTGCTTACAGAATCCCTGCTCTGATCTACCTGTCGAAGCAGAAAACCTTGCTGGCCTTTGCGGAAAAGCGCCTGACCAAGACCGATGAGCATGCAGATCTGTTCGTCCTACGAAGAGGAAGCTACAATGCAGATACCCATCAGGTCCAGGTAAGGCAGGACCCAGCTGCAGCAGCTCCAGCTGGGACGTCTCAACACACACTCACGTGGGTGCTGGGTGCTGTGGAACCAGGTGTAGATCTCACAGAACACAGAGGCAAGTCCATCCCTTGATGACTGAGATGCTGATGGGATCTAGGAAGCCTGGGAGGGCCCTGGAAACCCATTCAGGGACAGGATGGTTGATGGGTTCTAGTGCCCAACCCAGACCTGACTTGAGTTCACCAGGAGCAAGTCTTGTTGACTGACTTGCTTCATCACATGCCTGGCTGAGTTTCCCAGCATCCTTGAAAGCCCAAAGGTAGAGCAGTTCATTGTCATTTAACAGGGAGTGGTAGCCTTGCTTTAAGAAAACTTTATGCTTCCCCAGTCAGCTTAGGAGGAGAACTCTCCAAGAAAAAACGCTTCCCTTTTTAAGGACTTCTGCCATCCATCTACATACATTTCTCCAACAGCTCTCCCAGACTTCTCACCCCCCTGGCTGGTGGTTTAATCTCCGGCCCCAGAATCCACAGGGGGAACAGGAAGAAGCATCTAGCCGTAGGGGGTGTCAAAGTCATGGTGTTTCAGTGAGCGAGCCCTTATCTGAGCCCTATCAAGAGCTTTATAGCACTGAATTGTTTTCAGTAAACATTATCTCACAGCTGCCTGCTCCCAGGCTGTTGGGGAAGTCCTGTTATTTGCCTGTTATTTGTCAATAAAGTACTGTTGAGCCTATAGGAATCTAGATAGGTGGGGCTAGGAGTCCAGGAGGATTCTGGGAAGGAAAAACACAAGAGAGTTCGAGATGTAACCATTGAGGTAGGAAGCCCGGAAACCTCTCCGGTAAGAGAAATACTTAGATTAACAATTATGGGGTAATTACTTAAGTCAGAGGTAGCTAGTAAGAGACAAGCAAGGCCAACAGCTTCATAATGAATATAGCCTCCTGTGTGTTTATTTGGGACTGATGCGGATCTAGAACCAGGCAGAGCCCAGGCGACTGGCGGGGGATATACCAAAGCAGCTAGCAAGAAAAAGGCTTCTCTTAACACCAGGCCAAAGGGGAAGTGGGTCTCTGTTCAAGGTCTGGTGTCCCCACAATGGTCTTAGGCAACTTGATTATCTATTTCAGTCTCTCATTCTCAAAATATGAAATGGACCTAATGACCCTTCTCCTTCAGCATTGGGGGACTAGGCAACACAGTGGCCATCCATCTTTTGGCACTGTTTGTGCTCAGAGTCCTGGGGCAACTGATGTGGACTAGGGATGGACAGTGGCTGTGACATACATGCCGCAGGGAAGCTCAGTGTGAATCTTCAGTATCTGAGTTCATTGGTAGAGTCTCCTATGTAGGTGATGCAGGGTGACCCTCATTTTCTGTCTTGCATCAACCAGCTTACTGTGGTCCATACTAAGTCATTGCCTTTCAAGAGTTCTGGCCCAGCCAGGAAGAGGAAGGATGGGGTTAGGAATGGTTCCCACCATAGTTACCTACAGTTTTTTTAAATCACATTTACTTGCTGGCTTGTCTGTACGTGCATGCACTTGAGTAAGACAGTTCTCTCACCCGGCCACGTTGTGCGGGGGATTGAACCAGCCACCAGGCTTTGCGGCATGCCCTTTGTGCCTTGGGGGTCTGGCACGACATGGGTGCTCTGCAAATATCTGTTGGTGGGAAGCAAAGTAACAGAGCCTTCAGGGAGGGGAAGGGGGGAAGGGAGGAAAGGAGGAATGGAGACAGGGGAGGAGCCTGGCTCCTGTTGCGCTGGGGGAGGGTGGTGACAAATGGTAGGTGAATTAGTCCCTTCACAGCCTTTGACTCCATCACTCCATCTCTAAGATACACCTGCCCCATGGACCCCCAGAGAAGCTCCTGTCCTTGTAACGAGCAATTTCAAGTTTGCGGTTCTCTTTCTTAACTCTCCTTACATTCAGTGGCAAGCTGAGGAGGTGCTGACCCAAGCGCAGCTGGAGGGCCACCGCTCCATGAGCCCATGTCCCTTGTATGACAAGCAGACAAGGACCCTCTTCCTTTTCTTCATCGCCGTCCGTGGGCAAATATCAGAGCACCACCAGCTCCAGACCGGGGTTAATGTCACACGGCTCTGCCGCGTCACCAGCACTGACCACGGGAGGACCTGGAGCGACGTCCAGGACCTTACAGATACCACCATTGGCAACACCCACCAGGATTGGGCCACATTTGGCGTGGGGCCTGGGCACTGTCTGCAGCTGCGAAACACAGCTGGGAGCCTGCTGGTCCCTGCTTATGCCTACCGGAAACAATCCCCTATCCAGGCACCCGCCCCCTCGGCCTTCTGCTTCCTCAGCCACGACCATGGGCACACTTGGGAGCTGGGCCACTTTGTGTCCCAGAACTCACTGGAGTGCCAGGTGGCTGAGGTTGGCACTGGAGCTGAGAGGGTGGTCTATCTCAATGCTAGGAGCTACCTGGGAGCCAGGGTCCAGGCACAGAGTCCTAACAGCGGCCTGGATTTCCAGGACAACCAGGTAGTGAGTAAACTTGTAGAGCCTCCCAAAGGCTGCCATGGGAGTGTGATCGCCTTCCCCAGCCCCACCTCAAAGGCAGATGCCTTAGATATGTGGCTGCTCTATACCCACCCTACCGACTCCCGGAAGAGGACCAACCTGGGTGTGTACCTCAACCAGAAGCCACTGGACCCCACCACCTGGTCAGCTCCCACTCTGTTGGCAACAGGCAGCTGTGCCTACTCAGACTTGCAGAAGATGGGGCATGGCCCTGATGGCTCCCCACAGTTTGGTTGTCTGTATGAATCAGATAACTATGAAGAGATCGTTTTCCTTATGTTCACCCTGAAGCAAGCTTTCCCGGCAGTATTTGGTGCCCAGTGATCTTGCTGCATGTGGCCAGTGCTTGCTTCCTTGTGCTTCGAAACACCCATCTCTCTCTCTCTCCTCCCAGCATCCTGTAGACTTTTGAGCAGGGCTCTTGGGCCCTTTCTTTGGGAGTGTGTGGAGAGCTTGGTCTCCTGGCTCTTCACAGGCTTTGTAGTTCCAGTCTCCAAAGCGGGTTCACTTTCCAGCCCAGGAATCAAAGGAGCCTGGCTTTCTCCAGTCCCTTGACAGGGAAGGTGGGGACAGTACACACAGAGACTGTCATTCTGCATGTCAGCTGTCACTATGTTAGCTTAGCCTGCCTGTTTCCCCACTCCTAGTTATTGGATGAGTCTTAATAAATTATCCATCCCAGCCTATTTCTTCCTTGCTAATGCTTTAGGGTAGACAGCATCAGAACACTTTTTTTTAACCTAAGTCATTGTATTAATCTTAGAGGAATGTTCTAGCAAATTACCTCCAGTTTGGAGGTAACAAAACTTTTGTAACCCTTAAGCTTGCAAGTTCTCTGAGTGCCTCAGAACAGGGTCCCTTCTTGTCTCCTCCACATTCTGGTGACTTCCAACAATCCCTGTCATTTTTCACAGCTTATGGATGCATCACTACCTCCATGGGCTCTGTCTTCACATGGCTGCCTCTCCCCATGTCCTCCCCTCTGTCACTCAGGGCAAAGGCTGGTTGGTTTAGAATCCACTAGATGATCCAGAATGGGCTCATTCCCAACATCCTTCATCACATCAACAAAGATACTCCCCCTACATCCAGTTACACTCACAGAGACTGGGTGTTACTTGTGTCTTGGGGCCCTTACTCCCCCCACTGCAAGCATCCTAAACATGTTTTTTTTCTGTGTACATGATACAGCAGAAGGTAGGAAGGTGATTCTGATGGATCGATGAATTTGAAAGAACCAGGGATAGGCAGGGGTGGGGCGGGGCTGTTGGATGAGTATTAGAAGTATAGGGCTGTTTTGGGACACTCAAGTCTGGTGATGGGAGAGCTATGTGGCAGGGAAGGAAGTGGTCAGGGATTTCTTAGTGTAGTTCTTATCACAAAGGAATAGCAGAGAGAAGGCTCTCTCAGGCTGTCTCCGGGGATGACCAATGGAGGAGACTGACATCTCTGTGATGCCCTGGGGCCATTAGAGGCTTGTCCTTGGCCTTACCAGACCCTCTGTCATCTAGTCACAGGTATAGCTGAGTGACATCTTTGACTCAGCAAGTGTGGAAGCCAGAGGTATGTGTTTCACTGGAGGAGGGCAGTAGAGACCTTGTTAGAATGTTGCCTCTCCTTGTGAGGGCTTCATCCAGCCAGCTAGAAGGAAAGCTAGTTCCTCTGTGGGGGATTCCCACCTGGTGTTTGAAAAGCATTCAGAGTAGCTAGGATAGGTCCTGGGCTGAGACCAGGAGATGGAGGGCTTGGAATGCTGCCAGGCAGTGACTCCAGAGATGATGAAGATAGATGGCCCCACAGTACACTGTCCAGCTCCAGATACTCTGAGAGTGAGAGGGTCCTAATAATTATTACACCAGTCAAAGATCTTACCCAGGGCTGTCCTCAGCAAGCTGGGAGAATTAGGGGAGCCACACATCTCTTGAGACTGAGAGATATTCTCTAGGTACTACTTGCCTATTTCAACTCAAGGGGAGTTTCCCAGCAGTCCTGGCGCTAGGGTCTCACCTGGTCCGACTGATGCAGAACCCCTGGCACTGGGGCCCAGGGAGTGGCATTTCATCAAAATCTCAAGTTGTTCCAATGGGCACAGGGATTGAAAACCATGGACATATGCATTTCTAGAATTCCCTCTAAGACACCCACAGTTAAACACTGAACTGAACCCCTGGAGCCCAGTGACAGAGAGGGAAAGATGATGAGCAAAGGGGTCAAGGCTGGGCTGGTGAAACCCAAAGAAACAGTTGACCTGAACAAGGGGGAGATCTTGGACCCCAGACTGATGGCCGAGAGGCCAGCATGGGACTGATCTAGACCCCCTGAATGTGGGTGTCAGTGCAGAGACCTAGGCAATCTATGGGGCTTTGGGTAGTAGATCAGTATTTATCCCTGGAACACAAATGGACTTTGGGTGCCCATCCCACAATGAGGGATGCTCTCTCAATCTGAACACTTGCGGGAGGGCCTGGGCCCTCCCTGGAACAAAATGACAGACTCTAGAGATCTCCCACGGAGGGCCTTACTCTCCCTGGAGAATAGAGTGGGGATTGGGTGGGGGGCTGAGGAGTTGGTGGGGGGAGCGGGCATGGAGGGGAGGGAGAGGAAGCTGGGACTGACATAGGAAGCAAGCTTGTTTCTAATTTAAATATATAATAAAAAAGTGTTTCCAAAAAAAGAATTCCCTCTAGTTTTAAATACAAATGCCAAGGTCTTCTAGTTTGGAAAAAATGATCTGGTTAAAACTGAACTAATCCATTCACCAAAAGATGCCATTAAAAGAGTGAAAACAAAAGCTGTCAATATGACACGAATATCTGACAAAGAATCCCCATCTATAATACAAAAACTAATAAGGAAGCCAACCAGTCCAATAAAAATGGGCAAATGCCCTGAACAGGCCCTTTCCCCGAGAGGATATTTTTAATTATTTTTTATTTTACATACCAACCAGAGTTCCCCCCAAAGAGGATATTCTGAAGGTTGCTAAACACATGGGTAAATACTTATCACAACATTAGTGATTAAAATGATTAAGATTTTGAAGTCAGCAGCAGCAAGGTTTGCAGGGATCCAGAGCCGTTGCAGCACCCACGCACTTTCGGAAGACGAGTTACTGGTACAACCACTTGGAAGTTGTTTGGTAGGAGTTCCTAAAGCTACACACGCCAATCTGTGATGCAGCAGTCCCGCCTCTGAAATGAGTATCAGAGAAATCAGGGCCTGCATCCACCAAAGCCTGGAAGTTTGTGTATAGCAGCCATAGAGCAACAGACGACCTGGAAATAATTCATGTGTCAGTGGAGATTGAATGGACAACTGGTATACTATACAGACATCATGGAATGAGCTTTGACTTCACACTGTGGCATGGGTAACTTTCATGGGAGACCAACATAGCAGACACTGGACAAAAGTTCAGACTTCAGCATTCTCATGAAGGTGGCAGTCAAAGAAATGAATCTGTAAACATCAGTCAGGATACTGGCTACGTCTGATGAGGGAGCTATCATCTGGAAGAGGACGAGAGAGGATTCTGGGGTGCAGAAGTACTGCTGTTTTACCTGGCTGGCTTGGTGGTCAATTCCATCCACAGCCGAATTCTGTTGGTGCGTGTCCAGGTTGCATAGCTGACTGCATGTAAGTTATGTCCTAAAGAGAAGGAAGTTGAAGTGAATAATTTAACTTCAACAGTGACATATTATACAGGATTTTTTAAACTTTTGGGATGGAATTTAATTTTTTTAATTTTTGGAAGAATTTTAGATTTACAGAAAAGTTACAGAGACAGAAACAGCACGCTCAGAAGTCTTATGTAACTGTAGCATACTTGTCAAGCTGAGATACACTAGTGTGAGACTAGTAACTACACTCTGGACTTTATTCTGATTTCACCATTTTTCCCCTGGGCATTACTTTTACTAGTCTAGCGTCCAAATTAGGATGCATTCAGCACGTTTAGTGATAGGGCTTTTACTATAACGAGTTTGTGTGTAGCTTATGCCACATTGCTGGAGGAATGCTGGTCAGTCTTGAATATAGTGCTACCTCCTGGTGTGTGTGTGTGTGTGTGTGTGTGTGTGTGTGTGTGTACATATGCACACACATGAGTAACTAGCGTATGCTCATCCCTTGGTCCAAACTTGAGACTGGCAGCCCAGAACTGTCTGTCTGATAGCCTAACAGCCAGGCTGATATAGTAGGAACAAACACGTGTGCATTAGCATAGACTAATGAGAACTAGAGCTCCTGGTATGGGTCTCCATGGTCCTAGCTCTTGACCACCTCAGTTCAAAGCAGCATCATTCGAGAAGCCTCTCTCTTAGATCTGTCTTCAATATTACCCCCTGATGTGGTTCCCAGGTGGGGTGGACACACTGAGAAAGGCTTTCTGATATGGGAGGAGATGTTCCAGCTGGAGCATATGCCCTGGGGAGGGGAGGTGTGTCCCAGTGAGGCTCCCACACTGCTTGCCGTCCACTTCTAGTCCTTAGAGTGGCTAATGTTGCCTTACAGGGACTTGGCAGACATGATTCAGTGCATCCGGATATGGTTATCTTAGATTAGCCAGGTGGGACACACACATACCCACAAATGTCCTTGTGAGAGGGAGTAGAGGGGCACTCTGTGGAGGAGAAAGTAGAATGGCCCCCAAAGTAAGATACCACACCTTTGAGGATGGAGTAAGCAGCCAGAGCTAAGTAAGTCAGAGAGTGTGGTGCCAGGTAGGGACCACTCGCCCAAAGCTGCGGGAAACCTGGCTCTGTAGACATGTGGCTGCCATGTTGATGGAATTAGTCCTGTTCACATGGAGAAGGCAGTTTCTTCTTACCAGCAGTGCTAGGTTGAGAAGAATACCCTGTATCCTTTCTTGTAGGAAGGTCTTCATGGGGGAGACCTTCCTCTGCGCTGGAAACATTGAAGGGGTGTATGGTGAGAAGTCAAGAAGCTGCCAGTTAAAAGCATAGGAGAGGGGCCAATTGCAGCATGCAGGGTGGATGCTTGAAGTTGCCGTGTTGTGGAATACTGCTTTAACTAGGTAAAGATGTATTACATTTGTTTATGCTATGGACTATTACTTTAACTGTGTAAAGTTATTTTTGTCTATGCCACATTTGCTTAACTATGCAACGATGTGTGTTTAACTATGTAAAGATGTGTTGCATTTATTTCACCTTGCCTGCCTAAGGCACCTGATTGATCTAATAAAGAGCCGAATGGCCAATAGCTAGGCAGGAGAAAGGAAAGGTGGGGCTGGTGGGCAGACAGAATAAATAGGAGGAGAAGTCTAGGCTCAGGGAAGAACAAGGGGAGAAGGAGGAGGAGGAGAGAATGAGAAAGAAGGAGAGGGACATGCCCAGGGCAAGGAGCCAGGCAGCCACCAGCCAGCCAGACACAAGAAGCCATGAAAGTAAGATATGCAGAAGGGAAGAAAAGCAAGAAGTCCCGAGGCAAAAAAGTAGATGCACAGAGACAGGTTAATTTACATTAAAAGATCTAGCCAGAAATGACCAAAGCTAGACCAAGCATTCCGTACAGAAACAGGTTAGTTTACATTAAAAGAGCTAGTCAGAAATGAGCCAAAGCTAGACCAAGCATTCCGTACAGAGACAGGTTAGTTTACATTAAAAGAGCTAGCCAGAAATGAGCCAAAGCTAGACCAACCATTCCGTGTCATGCCTGAAGAGGT